GATTTTATATGATACTAGCTGCAGATTCAGGAGCTGCGCAATTGAGCCGTATGAAACGCTCAGCAGCTTTTTTTTTTCTTCCTTCAATTAGAATTTAGAGTACGGTGCTAATCATAAAATATGCACTATTTCAAGTGATTCCATACATCACTAGATATACTATAGGTGAACAGGTAATTGGGTAGTGTACGGGACATATTTCTGCTAACGTGGTAGCCACAACGTGTTACATATCATTGAATTACAGAATGTGTACCATAATTCCTTAGTACGGGACATGCTGTCGCAACAAGGCTAGCATGCGTGTGTTCCGTGCACTAGCATGATGGTGCAAGTGCTGTTTGCTGCCAGCTACGGGAAGTGTGCTATCATGTTGTAAAACAACAGTTGTTTTGTTGCGAACCATGTCAGTATACATGTTGCATTTTTACATCTGACTGCACACTCACTTTTTTGCACAAGGTGCTCCCTCGAAAATTGCTATTTTTACTGCAAAATTAAACTATCCGTTTTCGAACGCTCAGTTTCCACGCAAACTTAGCGCAAGCAGTCTGGACCAAATTACGAAATTTCGGAGCTTGTTATTTTATTCCAACGTTACAAGTTCCTTTCGTAAATCTTTATACAGGGAAATGGCCGACCACGAATACATGGAAATTGACGGGATGAGTTTACTTTCCTACTGAAACCTTCCCAAGATCACTTATACTTAACTTTCGAATAAGATGACAAGTGCTGTTACATCGGCATGGGGTCCGGACTACGTGCGCTACATTTGATTGGAGACTGAGCGTTTGGAAATGCATAGTTTATTTTTGCGGTGAAAAAACACTAAATGTTTAAGGGAATACGCTGTATCATAGGTAGAACTCCGTGTTTTCGGATAAATCCGAAAAACTCCGATAAACACCGGCCGGTAGAATTTTCGTCAACTTGGATTTATCCGATAAACTCCGAGTTGTTATGTGCCCACGCCCCCCCCCCCCCCCCCCCCCCCCACACACACACACACACAACCAAAAACAAAATAATAATTTCTTTTTTTTTTTTACAATTTGTGCAGCGCAGGATCAATGGTCCTGGGAAAATGACACCATAATTATCTTTCAAGCATCGGACCGTTGTCAAAAGGGGGTCTTACGGCTTGTCTCGTCAAGGTTGGTTCAGGGAAACTGGTCATCGTACCATTCGTGTCACAACAAAAGCCACTCTTTTGGTTTCCAGTTTGGGCCACGGGATTTGGGATTTAGAGAAAGCAGAGGGTATGTTTCTGGGGGTAACAGTGAAAGCTATGAACCATAGAGACTGTATAAAATAGGGAAGAGAGGGCAGTTGAAACTTCTCTATTACATCCTTAACTACTTCACCTCGCGCGGCCGCGGGAGAGATTGATGGGGGAGAGATTGATGGGATGACTACGCGCTTCCTAGCGACTACCTCCAGGAGTTTATTGATTTTAAGGTATCGACGTTTATCGAAGCCACACTTTTGTGCGACTTTTGTCGTGGGACTAATTAGTATTGCCAATAACACCAACGCCAAATTCAACTGAAGAAATCTTAATTAATACAAGCGCGTTTTATTTTTTATCTGGCATACGTTTTCATCCGGTTATTATTTATTATTTTTTAATAGGAAACACTGCTAAATTAATCTCCGAATTCCAGAGAATTGGGGATATACGAAACATAAACTCCGATGAACACCAACTTTTTGCTAAAAAAATAAACTCCGAAAAGCGCCCTCCGAATTTCACGAAATATAAACTCCGAAAACACGGAGCCCTAATCATAGGACAGGTTTTGTAAGTTCAGTTCTGCAACGTGCACCACTTCGTGAAGATATCTACGTGACCCTGTTGTGTCACACGTACACGCACATATATCCGGTGAAGCCGAAGTTCCTCATGGTGCGGTTGTCGCATTTTTTGTGCAAGGAACTTCGGTGGTTTCCGGCAGCATGAACATGTACCAAGGAGAAAATATACTTCTTATTCATAAAGATTCGAAGAAAGCTCAAATATACATTCTTGGGTCCTGATGGTATTGCCCCATTGCAGTGAACACATTGTGAAGGGAAAACAAGTGTTTATTGCCTCAAAATTCTACACGTTTATTTCCAAAATGAATAGAACCAGCTGTATAGATAGAATAATAAGTTATCAACTTAAAACTTGCCTCAAAAATAAATTGAGAAAATAATCTATCATAATAAATGAACAAACAAAGCCTTTTGCTCAATACTAAAAGCTCTACATAGGGGGCGAGTAGTGTTAATAAAGATATTGAATTGATAAATAAAAATATAACCTACAGTATGTCGCATGTTAAGACACGCGGCCCAAGGTGCTCCCGCAAAGCTTTCTGGTCACCATGATTAGTGGTATCCTTCTTTCCACTCGCCTCCTCTCCAGCGTTAGCTCTGCTCAAACGGGAAGAGGGGGGGGGGGGGGGGGCGGCTATGTGAAAGGAGCCTATCTTGCGTTTCTTCTGTTGCAACAATCTATGGTGCTAAAATCCCCTGCTGCCACTCCTTTTTGAACTTGGAAACCTTGAAAGGCTCCTTGAACCTTTGGGGGCATGATCATAAAATTAGCGCAAACGACAAGAGAAGAGAAAGGTAAGACAGGACAGGACAGAGCACCAGAGCCATTTTCCGCGAAGACCGCTGGGACGCCTCCTCCGGGTTCATGCCCACGAGTCGTCTGCAAGAAATGTTGTGTTCAAATGTGAAGTGGGTTTCGTTACAGAAAACCTTATAACTTCCTTTAACTTACGCATCTTTAGTCAGGGCTCATACTTGGACAAACTTATAAGTTATACTTTAGTTGAGCGCGTTGGTGATAAAGTTAAATACAAGAAAAAATAAAACACGAAGGACGGACAAATACTTCATTCTTCCTTGTATTTAAGTGTAAACTTATAAGCTTTTTTTGTTTATTTATTGATTCATTCGGTACATTTTTCAACTATTGCAAATGTATTCCTCTGGATTGGTATGTTACATCCTCTGCCATTCTAGCTAGTAAATACCCCAATCTCGGAAATTACCCTAACTCGAACAGCTCCTGAAGTAGCTCAGTGAGTACCGACATAGCATATGCCCTGAGACCAACCTCCCTCATAACTCAAACACCGTTCTAAGTTAGAGAGTTGGAGTGCATACCATATGTTGTAGCTTTAGTTTGAGCTTTGACTATAGTTATGTTTTTGGTAGAAGCTGGAAACAAGCTCAAAAATAGCGTCGCCTTGTTTTAGATATAATTTGCTGGCATGCAATTTTCCCTCTCTGGTTGATTTGATTAATATTTTATTGTAAATTTTTCAGTGATACGATTGGACTGAATCTTTTTGAAGCATCGTTTATATCAACCAACAGTTCCCTTTGAAGCAGTGAGAAAAAAATTCGTAGCAAAATATATTTCATTCTAATTTGTTGCAGTGCATATAATATAATAATATTCTACTGTACTATTGAAGTAATATACGATGCCTTCATCACTACTGCAATCATCTGAAACCACTGGTTAGTTTTCACGGCATGGCAGAGAGTTTAATCGCCCCCCAACTGTCAACGAGGTGTTAAATCATGCTTCGAAGCACTAGACACGGCAACAAGAACGTTGTAACAAGCACCATTTTACTCGTGCCGTTTCATTTTATCTCTGTTTTGCTCTAGAGCGCGTGAAAGAGCGTCTCCAGGTACGAGCTTGGTACTGACAGTGGTACGGCATTTCGTTTCTAGGTTTTCCAGCTCATAATAATCTAAGTAAGCTTCAGCTTTATTAATCTGAGCGCCCCTGAATTTAATCCAGCTTTACTCCAATTTAATCCAAATGTCATCAATTTAATCTAAGGGCAAATGAATTCAGTCCAAACTATTACCAATTTAATCCCAACGCCCTCCATCTTAATCGAAGAGCAACTCAATTTATTCACTGCTGCTCAATTGCCAGAAACGTCCTTGTGGTCTGAGGCGCTTGCAAGTCATGAATAGTTTTTTTAATTTATGTGCGCGCCTTTATGACTGATCTCTCATATTCCAAAACCATGTCTTCGCGGTATGCTTGCGTCGTGCCGCGGTTTCATCAACGGGCGTTGATGCTCCTTTAAATCGTCTGCAAAAACTCGGCGGTATGCTTGCGCCGTGTCGCGGTTGCAGACTTTGCATGTCCACTAAACGATCTTTCGATGTAACGTCGATCTACGAGCTGATTGTCACCGGAGTTGTCGTGTCTTTGGGTCCACGAAAAAAGATGGTCAATACATCCGCAGTGTGTACATTGAGCCGTGGTGCAGACTGAAGGTGACTTGGGGTCGGAATAGTCACCGGGTTGCCTCTTGGGTTTTAACTTCTTGACAGGCCGAAGAGGGGTTCGGACGTCTCGCAGATGACGGAGGACCATACCGAGCCCCTCTGGGCAGTGGTGTAGGCAGGGGAATAAAATCCAGCCGCCCCTATAGGCCTGTTACTTTCAAGTTTTTGCAGCGCCCATGGCGAGCACCATAGAATATTTCTATGTCGCGTTTCGTTTGAGTGTCATTTGGTTCCTCTAAGTTGCTCATAGAGGCTATGAAAAGAAATACAAATGGAACAACTAAAAGAAACGTACTGTTAGCGTTTCCATAGAATGCTGAGGCCGCGACCTTTTTTTTTTTTTACTTTAGTTACGTTTCTGGTGCGGGTAAATTGTGACAAGATCATCGATGTTTTTTTTTTTTTTTTTCAGGTCCTCTTAAGTCGCGGGGGAAGTTGACGCTCATGAGCCATGACCTAGATAGTTCATTTGCGTTTCTACGTTACAGTTCTTGTTTGTGAACGAAAACAGTACATTGGATGTGATGCCGAAAGACCGGAGTTGTTCTGTACTTCTTTTCTCCGTAGATTGATTTTTTTTTACAGTCTGGTTCTTGTATTTGCGTCACTTCTATTAATCTCTGTAAAACTAGTTTCTTCATTCTCCTTCAAAAATTGATAGCGACTTCGTACTCTTGTTCCAGGCGGAGCTGAGCCTCCAAGGGGATGACTTCACCCGGCAGATGTGGCACATGTACAACACCTTCGAGGACGTGGTGGTCAAGGGCGGCCCCGGCAGCGACCAACATCAGCAGTCATTGCAGTCGCAGGGCCAACACTCCTTGCCGCCGCAGTCACAACAGCAGCAGCAGCAGCAGCCACAGCCATCTGTGCCACAGCCACAACACTCCTCGCAACCACAACAGCCACAAACACCACCTTCACAGGCACCGCAGTCACAGCCGCAGCCTCAGCAGTCGCTGCATCCACCTCGCCACTCCAGTACCAGTGAGCCGACAACGACCTCAGCGGTTGCTCCGACCGCTCGGCCGGAACCTTCGGCAACGCGACTCGTGAAGCCCATCCGGGCTCCATCCAGCCCAGACGTCCGCCGTGATTCCCTGTCGTCCCCGTCGGCTTCTCCAGGAGCCCGGCGGAAGAAACGGCCCATGTCCCAACGGTGTACGTACGCCGCCTGCCAGAGAAGCGGCACTCCTTCCAGCAACCCGCTCTTGGACACCATCGGCTCCATGACGTACGACCCATGCTGCGAGTCGGACGACTACTACGACCTGGCCAGTGTGTACCTCAGGCGCCGCCAGGGGCGCCACAGCGACGGCGAGTCGATCGGCTACGCCGGCTCTATCGACAGCGGGTACAAGAGTCTCTGTCCCACACCCGAGATCCCGGACTACGACGGTGGGACAGTCACGGGGCAGCCGGACGCCAAGCCCAAGATCATGATGGGCACGCGGCTCATGTCCAAGCAGGCCAAGCCGACGCAAGAAGAACTGGACGCCGACCTGGATCACCTGATGCAACTGCGACAGTCCCTCCTCACTGCCATCGCCAGATGCGAATCTCCGGCGAGTCCAAAGAGCCCTCGAACGACGACAACGACGGCGGGTGATAAGACGGTTCGGTTCAGCACCGACAAAAGCACCGCGGCGTCGGCCAAGAGCAGGACGACGTCCGCGGCTGGCGCCGGCGGCCGGACCAAGCCGATACTGAAGGACCCGCTTTGCGCCAACCTGAGGGCGAACATGGAGCGGCCGGATAGCGGGGGCACGCTGGAGGAAGAGATCGACAGCCTGTTGTGCGGCAAGCCGGACTATTACGACTTGGATGCCAAGTTCCCGCCATCCACGTACGTCACCATGGTGGAGGAGAAGTATCGCTGCAGTCCAGGCTACAGCGTCGCCAAGGTCAAATGTTTGAAAGGTAAGCAGGGATTGAGAGGCAGATTGCCCACTTCACAAGCACCGCATATACGTCGAAAATGTTGGTTCTGGCGCGAGCGCGTGTCTTATGTCGAATTCTCTTGGTGGATTCGGAGTGACCCAAAAGCGCTCCATGTTTGCGCCTCTAAATGCAACAGATGCGAGCGCCCGCTTGTACGCCCAAGAAGACACCCGCAAAAAAGTGCTCCGAAACCGCTCCAGATCTACCAAGGGAATTCCCCATAATATGCAGTTTATCGTCTAATCTACTGCAAGGGATCCTCCAGAGGGCTATCTAATCAAACGTAAAATGAAACCACGTACTCACGCTTGCTGCTTTGGCAGCGTTGTACAATCGCGATCTTTATTATATAGCTCCAAGACCTGAAACGTTGTCGAGAGCTTTCTAACAAATGAAAGCTGAGATGTGACAAGGCATTGTGCGCATGTCTGCTTAGCCTTTTGCACATCGCAGCAGGCTATACATTATTGCGATTCAGACTTTTAGAGCGCAGCTCTTAGGCGCCCGTTCCCGGCTTGAGCGGCGTCGGCGTCGCCGTCGGCGCAACCGCGAGTAACCCTCGTAACCCTCGTGAGTGTTACGAGGGTTACTCTCACGAGGGTTACCTTCATGAGGATCACGAAGGCTACGAGGGTTAGTTACCCTCGAAAGGGTTACCCTCACGAGGGTCACGAGAGTTTCCCTCACGAGGGTCACGAGAGTTACCCTCACGAGGGTCACGAGAGTTGCCCTTACAAGGGTTACTAGGCTTACCCTCATGAGGGTCACGATTGTTATCCAGGTCACGTGACCCCCCCCGGGGTCGTCACCCGGATAACGTGACCCCCCCGTGACCTGGTCACGTGACCCCCTGGGGTCACGTGACCTGGGGATACCCCCGAGGTCACGTGACCCCCCGTTGACGTCATCGCCACTGATGACGTCATCAGTGACGTTACTGATGACGTCACCGGCATCCGCATCGTCATCATCAGTGATGACGTCATCAGTGACGTCACTGATGACGTCACCGGCATCCGCATCGTCATCGTCATCATCAGCGATGACAGCATCAGTGACGTCACTGATGGCGTCACCGGCATCCGCATCGTCATCGTCATCATCACTGATGACGTCATCGGTATCCGCATCGTCATCATCATTGATGACATCATCAGTGACGTCACTGGTGACGTCATCGGCATCGTCGCGTGACCCCCCCCTGACGTCACGTGACACCCACGTGACTCCCACAAGGTCACGTGACCCCCCGCCACCCGAGGTCGCTTGACCCACTCCCCCCCCCAGTACCCTTCCCTCCTCCTCCTCAAGAGCTGCGCTCTAATAGACCGATTTTACCAGGAGTTGCGCGACGCCACCGCTGCCGCGGTGCATCCTGGTACCTGTAGTTCTCCCCAGTTTTCCGGCCGCGTCGATGCGCATTGTACGCCCGGCGTTTGGAAGTTTTCGGGTTAGCACGAGACTTTTAGCCAGGTGTTTACTCATGGTTTTCAATCGGTGGCTTCACATGTTGTATGCCATGGAGCTATAATAACAGCACCTTCCCGCAAGAAAGAAGCATGGCAAAGAAAGGTCAACAGAGCTGGACAGAGCGACAGGAAAAATAGCGTTTTACGATTTGTTTCGCGATTTGCTTCATAATTTATATCCAACCTATTGCACGTCAGCTAAAATGTGTAAGATTACAGGGCACGAGACATAGAGCGTGCCGAAGTGTTTCGTAAGCTGGAATCTCTCTGACCATTTGCTCCGTGGCGGTCTACTCGTTGGTCTATCTCAAATAGAACCTCCGCACTGCTTTGTGGAGGCCGTTTTTAATACACTTCTTGATCGGTGTATTTTGGTGGTTATAACTGTTATTCCGACGACATGTTTCAAACACAACTGTGCTTCAAAAGATCAGGACAATCACTAAAAAAAAAGCAGCGATTCCCGATATGCACCACTTGAAATAAAACAACCTTTTCGGAAGCAGCCTTCATTTTTTTTTTTTTTTTCATACAAACGTGAAAAGATTACATAATGCAATTTAGATGTGCAAAACGTACTTACCGCCAGAAATGTAACAAACGAACCTCATTCATTTTGTGGTGGTCTATTAGGCTGGTATTACTGATCCATTCTGCATTAGCACCAGTCGAAACCGCAGAAAAAAGCTTCCCCCGTCGGACGACTGTTCGCGTTCGGATCTTGCGCAAACAAAATAAAACTGAATAGAAACTGTGCACGAAAATTCATCTCCACCCCAAGCTTTCGGGTATCTGGCATGGTTGCTTCTTTTTGATAGGTGCCAATTATTACGGCGCGTCAGGCATGGCCTTTTGTAGATCAGTTCTTTGCGTGCAGGCTTCGCCCGCTGTTCATCTGTACTCTGTCGCACAGGCTGTCAACAAGAATGAAACAACTTTTAGAAAACTATCGCTCACCGAGAAAGTCTATTTAGCTCCTCTTACTTGATGGCTGATTAAACGTTATGCACAAGACTGAGCACCACCAAGCTCAGTTTTTCATCACATTTGATGCTGTTCTGTGCTGCTACACCGAGCCGATGGTCCTCGAATTTTGTTGTTCTTTGCTATAGCACTAGATGTTCACTTGTTTGGAAGGTAATTGAGACGTCCGAGGAGTCGGAATGCTCCAGTAGTGGCGCCGTTGTTTTTTGTTTGTTTTTTCCGCGGCCGCAGCGGGATTACCGCGTGAACGGCAGTGGGCTCACGCGTTCACGAAGACGAAGAAGCAGACGACGACGAAGCAAACGACAAGGCGATTCTAAAGCGATAAGACGACTGAAACTGCTTTTCTGCACTTGCTGAGGAAAGGCATCACAAACAACACAATCTTATAAAGTAAAAACATGCAAGAGAATCAAGGTGATACCGGGGCCTGCCAAATGATAATCTATGATGATGTACGTACGGAAGGGATGACTACAAGTAGCATGGCGGCGGCACCACTTCCGGAATGCGCGCGCCTGCGCAGTTCGCTTGGTGACATCGGTCTATTCGGCGTTACAGGGAGTTGTAAACGGCTTTCATTTTTTTCATGTTTCTTTCACCTATAATTTCGCCCAGCCGAAGCAAGCTTGCCCTAAAGTTTGCTCGGAACAAATTACTTCAAAACTTGTTAAAAGCTACCGCCCAGAACCTGTACAAGAACTTGTAATGTTGCTGGTGTTCTGATGCCACCTTCAGCTTTGTAAGTCGATGGGAACGTGAAATCGCTTTCCGACATAAATGCTTTCTGCTTATCGATGTATGCATTTTGAGCGTAACGAAATACTGTGTTCTGAAGAGGTAGTATCACGGCAAACGACAGCCCTCAAGTTCAAGAGTCGATTATCGATGGCACCTTTCTAAAACCGCCGGCAAGCGTTTTGTGCTTGGCGCGCTTCAGCTGTTACTGGTCTCCAGTGTCCACCACGCATGTGCCATGTTCTATTAAAGCCTAGCGCGCACCGCAAAATCTGAAGATGGCGAACTACATTATAGGTAGAGCCAGCGCCTGGATAATAATAGGCTGCGTAACATTTGCATTAAGAAAATCTCTTGCGCTGTGATTGTGGGCCCTTTAGAGCGTGGTTGAATAGAACAGGCCGGAAGTCTTCAAATATGAAACGAAAAAACACAAAGAATTGCAGGCACCGTCAGCTTGAGCAAACCCGGCGGCGACAGCAATTCACCATGTTCATCAACAGTTAGTCCACTTCGTTATTTATCGCACTGTTGCCCGACAAACCTGTCAGATCACGGGAACATCGAAACAACACAGGCGACAGCAACAATGTTGCCTCGGTGTAACAGCATTCGGCAAAAAAAAAAAAAAAAGCAAAAACAGCAGCAATTTGTGTTGGACGACGCGTGTTGCTTAGATTGGTGGACGAGCGATTTTTTTTTTTTTTTTTTTTGCAGTCAACACGAGAACACAGGTATTTAATTTATTTATTTTATATAAAAATACGGCGACATCAATGAGGTCATCGCAGGAGTGGAAAGAAAACATGCACATACATTAAAAAAGTTTAAAATGTACACACCCAGTAAAGGTTCGTCCCTTGGTTGATTAGATGATGACTGCCCGGCGGTGTCTTGCGGGGCCAATCGTTCGATGAGCCTTGTTCGGTGGGTGATCAGAAGAGTGTGACAGATGCGGGAGGACTTCGTCTAAACCGTTTATTTAGACGTGACGAGCTATTGTACACAGTATATACAAAGCAAAGGGAATTCGCCGTCCTCCAAATTAGTCCAGGTCCAAGCCAGAAAGGGCTTCTCTCTCGCCCGTCACGGACTTTTGAAGACGCTGACCCCCTCACTCTCGGGCGAGGATCAACCAATCATTTCAAAGCTTTGCTGGAGCCACGTGATATCCACCGTCGAATAGTTGGCAAGGGCGTCGATACACATTCGTTAACCTGCCAACGGACTACAGCCGACAGCTCCGTAACTTCGTCCGTGCATCCCGTTGCAGACATAGCGGCGCCTCTCCGGAACCCCCAGGTTGAAACCCAAGAAGCCCCGTAGAATGCGCAAGCCTCCAGATTCAAAATAAGAAACAACATCTCTTCCCGAGGGGTCATCCCGAAGGGGGAGACACAGGAAGACGCTCTCCAGGGGGGCCGCGTCGGCAGAAAGGCCCACGCGGTCTCCCGTTAGAAAAATAAAACTACACAAAACGACCGGGGAGGGAGCATCATACACGCCGCCGGACAAGACGACCGTCGCCCGGCCGATCGAGAAACTAGCCGTCTTTCCCAGAACCCTTACACACCCCATGGAACAAAACTTAGATATCTGTGAAAGATACAGTGTAGTTGAAAAAGAGTACAAAAATGATCGCGTACACTTCAGTATTAGGCTCACAGGCACCAAGCTAAGGAACCTACTGTATTGCTACGACAGATTTATCAGATTCGAAATAACGAACTGAGCAATTTATGTTGTTCCAGTTTGCTATCGTTCAAGGACAAAATATATTTAAAACAG